TATGTTTGCATACCATTCCTCAGCACAGCCAAACCTCCCCATATCCATTTCCCTTTTGCAGTTTCACTTGCAGACCTTCTCTCAACTTGGAAGCTGAAACAGATAGAGTCAATATGCGCAAATTGTGTTGGAGAAGGAAGTTGGGTAGAGTGCTAAAGCAAGATATTGACTGTAAGTCTATTTCCATGATTTGGCTGGCCCCAGTAGTCTGTATTTTCTTCAACACCAGAAAAAGATTTTGCAAGTATTTGCAATTAAGGAGATCTATTTAATTTACCATATCCAGAAATTGGCCCAGAGTCTTGATCTATGAGGGAGGAGCCTTGAAAGCTTCCCAATTCCCGTGGCTTTTAGGCGCTCCATGAGGATTTTGATGATTACTCACCAGGCCATCTCTGAAACATCTGGGGCTTACTTGAATTCCTCAATCAGTTTTTTTCATTATTACCTAATATTGGGCTTGCCTCTTTTTTTTTTTTTTAATGAAAATCATGTCCTAGACATCAACTCTACTGATGTCTCCTTAAAATTCCATGAAAATCTTCAGAAAAATAATTATTTTTCTAAAGACACAGGTTTTGGTATTTCTAGAGACACAGGTTATTTGGTGTTTTTCTAAAGAGACATGCTCCTGGTATTTTATTTAAGTAGATGTTGAGTGTACTTGCATAAAGCCACAAATTTTCATCAGAAACAGTCATTTTCTCACTTAGCAACCTAACCTACCCACTCACACCACAAAGGCTCTGGCATGAATACTTAAGCTGTCTCCACAGCATCTCTCTCATTTGAGGGTGGATATGCTGCCTCACAGGACACTTATGCTTCAGCTATTATGTTGCTTAGTACTATTTTATTAAGAAAGAATTTAATGACTTTGGCTAAGCTGCAATACTTCCACAATGTTAACTTATAGAAGGTTTCAAAAATCCAGTAGCAAAGTGGTAAGTCCACTGTCTCTCAACTTTCTCAGTACAGAAAGATTAGGTGAAGCCATAAAGTTGAGGAGGGTATCCTCTGAGATAGAAGGGAAATTCCTCTCTTTTGAGGCTTTCTTCCACCAATCTTTCCCAGTCCAAATTTCAAATGCACATTTAATTCCATTGGATATTTGCATGTTCCTAAAGCATTATAGAACATCATTTAGTTAACATTGCCCTTTTAGCACAAAATAATGTAAACTTAGTCCCAACATTTATGCTCTCAAAGGATGTCAGTTCACATGGATGGTTCCTTGTTCATCTCTCTTTATCATTACAGTATTCTTCTTCCTTTCAGGGTGTCTATCTCCTGCACAAGGCTACTCCATACTACCTCCTACCCTTTATACAGAATAAAGAACTCCCATCTGCACAGATGTTTTTCTGTCTTCACATTAGGGATATATGATTATGGCTCTGCAGTTGATGAGGACATTGGTGAATCTTCAACCACCTCCAGTCTCCCCCAAACAATAGCTATGGCTTGTTTTTTCTCTAGATTGCATGGGAAAAAAACAACACATTCATTTTGGATCTGTTCTCTCTACACCCAATCATAACTATTTTGGTTGCCACTCTACTTTTGTTACCAGTATCTACTTGTCTCTACTATTCAATTTCCAGGACCATTCTATTTTTAGATAATTTTTAAGACCCCATCTCTTCAGTTGGTTTGTGGCTCCTGGAATTCACCCAAACACAGCTTTACCTGAAGCTTTATGTATGTAGTTTTCCCTAAAGATTTCTTGCCCTCTTGCAAGCCAGGGATACCCAGAAGAGGAGACTAATTCTGATTAAGTGCAAATTAAACTGTTAAAATACAGATAATTATTGAACAAAAACACTAAGAAGAGAATTACAAATGCTTTACAAACACCTGAAAACTGCCTTGTAAGATATGTTTTTCTTACTAATAGTCTTACCAAGAGAACTTCAGAATCATCTGGTCACTTATATATGACAACTTTCTTTTACTTACACTAGTAACTTTATCTGATCATTCCACTTTGGAGATGTTGTTAGGATGGTTTGGAATTTGATGAATTAAAATCAGTCATGGCTTCATTAGATGAAAAAAAACTTTATTTTTCACAGAATAAAATGTTAAGTTGTTAAGAAATATTGACTTTAATTAAATTCAATTGTTTAGAGGCATTCATATTACATCCAGAGATAAATGACACACAATCCCTCCCTTATTTCCATTTCTCCTCCCCAGCATTTCATTCTCTCCCAGTCTTCCCATCTATATGGAGAAAAAAATTAAGTAAACATCATCACTCTGGAGAGGGTGGGACAGAAGAATAATGACAAGTAGTCTTGCAAGTTATCAGGCACTTTGCTGAGTACTGTGAGTAGAAAGATAAAAATCTAAACCCTATTTCTCAAAGAACTCACAATCTATTTAGGAAAGCAGCTACCTGTATAATCACTTTATAATTATTGTCAATGTGATTAGTACTCATATAGTTACAAAAAATGTAAAAGAAAAGGCAAGTGAGTCATTCATTTTGCCTGAAAAGGCTGAGAACGATGTTACAGAAACTATATCGTAAATGCTACAGAAATATGGAGGATGGTTTGTAGAAGGACACATTCTGGCTTGCCACTTCTCGAGGCTGACCTTTGGGTCTGAGGTGTAAACTGTTCCTTGGAGAAGCCATCAGTGAAATGCTGTCAAGGATACAATTTCCCCCAACCATTGAGATCTGATGAGTAAATCATACATGGCTTCTAATCTCATCAAAGTGCTACTTTGCCAACAACTGCTTCCAAGGAAAATAATATTATAGAACTGAAATTTCCAAATGTCAGCCAGGGATTCCTTTGGGTAAAGGAGTTTTCAGGAACACTCAGGTGTTTTTGGTTACCATTACTAAATGATTGCCTTTATTACATTTGCTTCATTCAAGTCCCAGAGGAACAACTAGCAAAGTTGATCAATTAAGAGCTGACATGAAAAAGAAACAAATGTAAATTGTAGAACTGAGAAATATATAACCAAAATTACAAAAAAAAAAAAAACCCACAATGCATATGCTCAAAAAGCAGAATGGAAAGCACAAAGTAAAGAATTAGAGAATGTAAAATATGTCAAGAGAAATTGCATATTCTGAAAAAAGAGAATATTCAAATACAGATAGATGATAGAGAGATATAGATGATGATAGATGACAGATGATAAATAGATGACAGATGATGATAGATAGATAGATAGATAGATAGATAGATAGAGAAATGATGACAAAAGAGCCATCACAATCCCAGAAGCAGAAAAGAGAAATGACAGGGATGAAAATAATGGAAAAAAAAAACAAAAACAAAACTACAGACTGTTACAAACTATTTGTAAGCCATCTGTCAATTGATTTGTATCTAGGATTTAGAGATCCCTTAGAATTCAACAGAACAAAAACATAACTAATTCAATCAGAAAATAGACAAAAGAAAAAAATGTTCATTTTGTTCATTTAAGATAGTTGTACATGGAGTTTCCTTGTGACATTTCCATATATACATGTATTATGACCCAAATTGGTTCATCTACTCTTTTTTTCTACTTTCTAGCTTAGTCCCCTTCTTATGGTGATTTCAACACATTTAAAATTCTATATTCATTCTTGTATAGGAGTGCATCAACCATATTTACCTTCTTAACTTCCTTCTTTTTACCCTCCTTCTCTCATATGAGACATCTGCTTAGTGTGACCTATTGAGGAGGCGGTTGAAGCAATAGGAGGGAAGAGGAGGTGGGGAGAGGGTGTTAGAGGTTGACTATGGTACAAATACTGTGTACACATGTATGTAAATGGAAAATGAGACCCCTTGAAACTATTCCAGGAATGAGGGAAGGAAGGAAAAAGGAGAATGATAGAGGGAGTGAATTCAAGTATAATATATTTGGTATATTGTAAGAACTCTTGGAAATGCCACAATGTACCCCCAGTACAACAATAAAAAAGAAACTAGGCAAAAGCTATAAAAGACACTTCACTGAAGGAGATGTACAGAAGGTGAATAGCACATGAGATGTTCAATACCATTAATCATTAAGAAATGCAGATTGAGACCATGATGAGACATTACTATATGCCTATTAGAAGACTTATTTTTTTAAGTAGAAGCAATACCAAATACTAAAAAGATAAAGGTAAACTACATTTCCAATATAGTGCTGATGGGAACATAAAATCGTACAGTTTCTCTGAACAGCAATTGGTGATTTTTTTTTAAAAAACACATACTTATGATATGACCTAACAATCATACCCCTGAGAACATATGCCAAAAAAATGAAAACTTATACCCACACAAAACCTGTACACTAATGTTCAGAGGAGTTTCATTTGCAGAACTAAAAACTGGAAGCTATCAAAATATCCTTTGATAGACAATAGTTTAAAAAAAACTGTAGTGTATCTATGCTATAGAATATTGCTCAACCATAAAAAAGTGAACAATCAATACATACAACATCTGGGATGGACTTCAAAAGATACTAGACTAAGTAAAAAAAGACAGTCTCAAAAGGCTACACACTGTACTATTTCATTATATAATAATCTCAAATGAAAAAATCACAGAGATGAGTAAGGCATTAGGGATGGTGAAGAAGTAGTGTGCCATGAGGGAAATCTTTGCAGTGATGGGATAGTTCTGTATCCTGATTGTGCTAGTTTACATGTGATAAAATGACACTGAGCTGTACAAACCCATTGTAACAATGAAAATTTCCTGGTTTTGGTCTTCCTAACCTAGCCATATAGTGTGGAAAGATGACTCACCTTTCAAACCACAAGAAAATCATACATGACAAAAACCTATGGCCAGTCTAGCCTTTAAGTTGTGAAAACTAATACTTAGGGCTTTTCTTCAATCAAGCCTTTGAATCTCTATCTGCTTCTGCCACCAACCTGGGTAAATCAGGTGAAGGGAACATGGGATCTCTATGTACTCTCTTTGCAACTTTCTGTGAATCTGAAAATTTCAAAATAATTTTTTTGATACATTGAGACTCACCGCAGTTCAGTACTTCTTTGTGAACTTGTTTGATCTTTGCCAACATTTTAGAGGAGAGGTTGTTGATAAAGTTGATGTCTAAGACATAAGCCACACAGTTTATTTCTGTCCTTCAGTGATGGGGATGCAATAAAGGTAGGATGCTTAGGTGTAATTGGCTCACATGGATTAAACTGTTACAGAAACATACGGTAATATTCAGAATTCAGAGACTCTGCTTAATTTTTTTTTTCTTTCTTTTTTTTTTTTTTTGGCAGGACTGGGGTTTGAACTCAGGGCTTCACACTTGCAAAGCAGGCACTCTACCACCTGAGCTACACCTCCAGTCCTCTGCTTAATTTTTAAGACACAATTTATGCAGCAAAAATTACTACCACCACTCATCTCCACTTGAATTTTTCCTTCTTGACACCAACTTCTCCTCCAGCAGTTTAGCTTTCCACTGTGAGCATAACACTATTATATCTTTCTTATATAGAAAAGAATTTCATTGCTCTGGTTAAAAAAAGTGATATTTTTCAACTGTAATTATTGCCAGGAAATATAAAGAATGCTTTTTAAAAATCTAACTAAAAGTTCTAGTCTTCAGAAATTAACATGTATAAAAGAGAAAATGTATATCCTTATTTATATGTATACTGAAATGCTATTTAAACTAAAATACCACGATTTCTTTTAATTTTTCAGAGTGAAAGAAAAGAAATGTCAGCTTTCAAGTTAATGCCTCCTTATCACAAGACAAAAATCTTTACAATACTAAGAAAATGGAAGATGGCTGAAGATGGGCTGAGTGCTTATTCTGCCTCTTCCCGTGGCATGTGCCAACCTGTGTAACAAACCTCCTTTCTCTCCCCTTCACCATGCCTCTTTATTTGGTGTATGTAGGGGAATGACTAGACCTGACATGTGGAAGCACAGGAGTTTAGACCTAGAGCCCAAAACTCTGATTTCACTTTGACAAGCCATGCCAGGAGAAAATGTACCCTTTAGAAACTAGTTCTCACAGCTAGTAGAACCTGGATAAAAAGAAAAGGTGGGAATTGGTTCCCTACAGCATCTGGAATTGCTTTTATACCAGGGACTTCTTTTTATCTTTCCACTTTGGCCAGCATTGGCTGCTTTCTACCATCATCTTCTGAGGCACAGAAATGAGCATCTGGACTGCAGGGACCCTGAAGTCTGACCTTGTGAGTTCTCTCTAATTAGTGCGCCTCAGGCTTTCACCTTCCTTTTCCCTATTGTCTAGAGGCTCTTCTGGGCCATTCAGGGCTTATCTGTACCATTTGGGCTTTTGCCATTTGTCTGATAAGGGATTTTGGATTCCTTGTTCAGAGACCTTCTGAGCATCTGACTTCATTGGAGAATTTTGTGCCAGCAATTTATGGGGAAGGAATGTAAGGTACACAGAGAAATCTGGGTGTTTGTTTTGGAAATCTCTACTGTGAGCTGCTTAAGAATGAAAAGCGCTATATTCATTTTGCCCTCTATGCAAAATGACTAGTCTACTATAAATGAGAGAAAAAAATTAGCAGAAGGATGACTTGTCTAAGAGTGCACTGTGAATTAATGTAATTATTTTTGTGTGTCATTGTATGTATTTTGTGTATGATTATTAATATATGTCCAGGATGATGGGTTTGATGAAGGCTAAAATTCTCATGGCTGTGGCAACAGTCCTATTGAAGACTGACTTAAAACACTTCCATAACATTGACTCTTGCTTCAGCTATCATGAGTATCCCAAAATGAGATCTGTTCCTGTAATTCCTGGAAATAACTGACCAACCTACTTATCACCACTAAATTAAGTTTGCATTTTCTTGAGTTCATCTATGTGTGCTTAAATTGAAATTTATGGCATGCCTGATTTAAAACTATTTTGCATATGTGTGTACATTTAGGATGATTCTTATTGTAGAATTGATATAAAGGAGCTGTTGCTTCTATTGTCCCTTCTGTTCCCATCCCCCATCTCTTAAGCTGCCATGCTAAGAAAAGTAGTTTTCCAAAGTTCTTATCTCAGCAAGGTCTAACAAAAATGCAGGCATTAAGAATTATTCTTTACCTTAGGCCTGAAGAAAAAAAGGACTCTATAGACAATAACCTTAATCTGTTTCTCTCCTAAGTGTAGTTTGCATTCAACTCTTTTATAATTGGACCTATTAGCAAAATTTTTTGTAAATTACTATTGTATAGAGAAACAATTTAAAACTACTTTTCTTCTTGGGTCGTCATTGAAATATAAGGCTACTAGGAGTACTTTATTGTTAGAAGAAACTTTATCTAAATTCAAATTTTTTAAAAACTATTTAAAAATGCAAATTAGAAAGATCTTAAAATACATGAGATAAAGCTTATCAAAAGTTCATGAGTGTGACTACAATTTTTAAAATGCCTAAAAAATTTTCTAATATCCTACTGTAAGGTCAAAATTTAGTATATTGATATAAAACTAAAACCTAACTCTATAATAACAAGGCCATCTTAATATTGCTTTGATCTTAGTAACATCTGTAAGAAATTGATTTAAAGGACTTATGGTATAATACTGCACTTCAAAAGACAGTAGTTAATTACTCCAGTGTCTTACCTGTGTGATCAAACAAGTGCAACACATTAAATTACAACTTTACTATTAGTTTACATTCCTATACAGTGATATAAACACAATATCCCCATGACTTTTTTGTGGAATACAGAAGAATCCTGCCCTTTGGCTTCTTTTCTTAAGGTATAGACAAGAACAACAGTCCCTTAACTTTTCTTACATGAACACTTATTTAGTTAAAGAAGAGTAGTGTTCACTGATGTTAGAATCACATATAGTAGTTGATTTCTCTTCAAAAAAATTGGAGAACATGAGGGCAGAACAGGTTCTGCCTGAAAGCAAGGGGAGGAGGTGGGGGGGATGGAGAGGGGGAAGGGGAAGAGGTGGCCCAAACAATGTATACACATATGAATAAATGTAAAAACAATTTTAAAAGAATGACATTATAGCAGTTGAAATTGTCATGTGGAGTAAAAATTCAATGAAAATATTGAAAATGATTTAAAGTGTCCTAGATTTGAGGAAATCTTACTTGATATCTGTCCGGCACATAACCTTTTAAAATGTGAGGTATGTCATCCATGCACAGTCCCACGCCATCCACCTCATCTAGCCCCATTGAATCACACAACATAAATGGCAGAGATTTTCCATTTTTTTCTGTGTTTAATGAATATATCCTATACTGAAAGATAAAAATATAATGTGTTAAAGTTAACTGTTTAGCATTCAAAACATGACAATAGGAAGAAAAAAAACTGTTTAATGCTTTAACACCATGGTCCTCATTTTGGTCTCAGGACCCTTTTAGATTCTTAAAAATTATTGAGAATCTCAGAAAATGTTACTTATGGGGTTATACTATTGATATGAAATATATTAGGAGTTAAAACACAATAAATGCTTCTTTTTAAAAACAGATAAAATTATAGCATTTACTGTGTACAGCATGATGTTTTGAAGTATATACACTTGATGGAGCAGCAAAGTCTAACTGACACATACACAGACTCACATGGTTATTATTTTTGTATTGAGGAACTTTTCATCCACTCTCTTAGAGCTTTAAGATTAACATATATTAATTTACTGCTCCTATCTAAATTTGCATAGGAGCAACATCTTTATATTGCTTTGACCAACATTACTCTCCACTCTCCCATTTATCTTCATGTTAATACACAGTTTTCCTAAGACCATTTATTGAAGAGACTGTGTTTTCCCCCATTGTGTGTTTATGACACTTTTCTTAAAAATCAGTTTGCTACATATGCATGGAATTATTTCTTGGCTTTCTATTCTGTTCTATTAGTTTATGTGCCTGTTTTTATGCTGATACCAGGTTGTTTTAATTTCTGTCATTTTATATTATATTTTGAAGTCAGGTACAGTGATGCTTCCACTTTCTTTCTTCTCTCAAGATTTCTTTGGCTGCTTCATGTCTTTTTTTTTAAAAAAATATTTTTAAAATTTTATTGGCATAAATTTGTTGTAAAAAGGGGTTTCATTGTGATGTAAACATGCATTCATATAAGGGACTTTGACCAAATTCACACTAACTACATTACACTTTCTTAACTCACCTCGTTTTCTTACTATTCTTTTTTTAAACAGTCTTAGTGGGTTTCATTATGCTATTTTCATACACACATCTCCATTATACTCTCCTATCTTCCTCCCCATTCCCACTGGTTCCCCCCACAAACTGTTCCCCTTTTATAATCATGTCCTATTTTTATTTAATTTTTAGGTCTAGATTCTGCATGTGAGCAAAAACATGCTTTTTTGCTTGGCTTATCTTACTCAACATTATGACTTCCAATTCTATCCATTTTCCTGCAAATGACACAATTTCATTCTTCTTTATGGATGAATTATGCTCCATTGTGTAACCATACCACATTTTCTTTATCCATTCATCAGTTGTTGAGTACCTAGTCTGATTCCATGATTTTTGCTATTGTGAATAGTGCTTCTATAAACATGGACATGCAGATATCTCTATTACATGCTTACTTAGATTCCTTCAGATATATGCCCAAGAGTGGTATAGTAAGATCATAAGGTAGTTCAATTTTTAATTTTTGATGAAATTCCACATTGATTTACATAGTGGTTGCACTAGTTTACTCTCCCACCTATATGCATGAGCGCTCCTGTCCTTCCTCACCCTCACCAGTATTTATTGTGTGTTTTCTTTTTTTATTATTTATTAGCATATTATAGTTGTACGGAGCAGGGATGCATTGTGACATTTACAAAATTTCTTACAATGTATCTTAGTTAGATTCACACCCTCTATCTTTATCCTTTATCTCCCTCTCTCCCCTTCTTATAACAGTTTCGACAGGCCTCATTGTTCCATTTTTATACATGAATTCATAGTACTTCCATCATATTCGCCCTCTTTCCCCCTTTCCTTATGTCCTCCTTCCTCCCACTGGTACCAACCCACAGACAAGAATTGTTTTTACCTTCCTGTCCTTCATTTTATCAAAAAAAATTTTTGTTTGTTTATGATGGTTATACAGGGAGTTTCATGTGACATTTCTTTATATATATACATATATATTATACCCCAAATTGGTTTATCCCCACCATTATTCTCCTTTCCACCTTATTCCCATTCTTAATAGTGATTTCAACAAGTTTGAATATTCCATATCATCCTTGCATAGAAAGTACATCAACCATATTCACTTTCTTTACTTTCTTCATTTATCTCCCCCTCCCACTAATACCTCCCTTCATTCTTGACCTTCATTATTTAGGTGTCTGTTCATTGTTCAGTGGGATCTTTGCCTCAGTATTTTACCTGTAAATGGATTGTGCGGAAGTCAGTCTAACCTCTCTCCACTACACTTCCTCACCCTGTTCCCCCATTCTGTGTTGCTCAACAGTTTTCACTGTGTTTCACTGTATCTTGTTCCTACACAGATGTGACATATTTCATTATTATTCACTATCTTTCTTTCCTTCATCTCCTCCTCCCTTAGGCATTCTTTGTTTTCTTGACCATAGCCATTCTGACTGGGATGAGATGGAACGTTGGAGTCATTTTGATATGCATTTCCTTTATGGATAAACATGCTGAACGTTTCTTCATATATTTATTAGCTATTTGTACTTCGTTTGAAACCTGTTTATTAATTGGATTATTTTTCTTTGAGGTTTTCTTTTTTGACTCTGGATATTCTGGATATTAATCCTGTCTCCAATGAATGACTGGCAAAATTTTCTCCCATTCTGAGGGTTGTCTCTTCATCTGGTGATTGTTTCCTTTGATGTGTAGAAGCTTTTTAATTTGAGGCAATCCCATCGGTAATTTTTGCCAGGCAAATTGGAGTTCTAATCAGAAAATAAATGACTATGCTTACATTTTTAAGTGTTTTCCAGTAATACTTTCAAAGTTTTAGGTCTTACATTTGGAGTTTTGATCCATTTTGAATTGCTTTTAGTATAAGGTAAGATATAAGGGTCTAATTTCAGTCTTCTACAGATGAATATCCAGTTTTCCCAGGAATGTTTGTTGAAGAGGCTGTCTTTCCCAACATAAGTTTTGGCTTTTTGTAAAAACAAAAACAACAAAAAAAAAATCAGATGACTGGAGCTATGCGGGCTTATTTCTGGATCTTCCATTCCATTAGTCCACATGCCTGTTTTTTGTGACAGAGCCATGTTGTTTTTGTTACTATGGCTCTGTAGTATAATTTGAAGTCTGGTATTGTGATACCTCCAGCATTGCTCTTCTTTGCTCAGGATTGCTTTGGCCATTTGGAGTCTTTTGTGCTTCCGTATGAATGTTAGCAAATTTTTCTAGTTCTCTGAGAATGATGGTGGGATTTTTATGGGAATTACATTGATTTGGAGCCATTTTCACAATACTAATTCTGCTGATCCATGAACATGGGAGGTGTTTCCGTCTTCTGGTGTCTATCAATTGCTTTCTGCAAGGTTTTATGTTTTTCTTTCCAGAAGTCTTTCACCTCCTTACTTAAATTTATTCCTATGTGTGTTAATTTTTAGGCTATTCTAAATGGAATTGCTTTTCTGATGTCTTTCTCAGTCTGTTCATTGTTAGTATATAACAATGTACTTTGTTATATTGTTTGTATATTTGTTTTGTATGTTGATTTGTGTCCTACTACATTGCCCAAAGTGTTTATTAAATCTAGGAGTTTTTTGGAAGAGATTTTACAGCCTTTTAAGTCTAGGATCATATCATCTGCATATAGAGATAATTTGACTTTTTACTTTCATATTTGTGTCACTTTAATTTCTTTCTCATTCCTTACTGCTTTAGCTAAGAATTCCAATACTATACTATGTAAGAGTGGGGAGAGTGAACACCCTACCTCATTCCTGATATTTGAGGAAATGATTTCACATTTTGCTCATTTACTATGAATGCTAGGTATAGGTTTATCATATATACATACATAATCCTTGTTATGTTGAAGTTTGTTCCTTTTATTCCTAATTTCTTCAGAGATTAAATCATGAAAGGATGTTGAATTTTGTCAGTCTTGCATATATTGAGATGATCTGGTGGCTTTTATCCTTTATTATATGTTATATTATGATTATTGATTTGCATATATCTAGCCATCCTTGCATGGCTGGAATTAAACCAACTTAAACATAGAGTATAATCTTTCTAATGTGTTATTAAATTCAGTTTGCAAGTATTTTATTGAGAATTTTTGTGTATATGTTCATCAAGGACAGGTTTTTGTTCAGGGTAATACTGGCTTCACATATTGAATTTGGTAGCATTCCTTTCCCTTTGTAACTTATGGAATAATTTGAGCAGCACTGATATTTACAAACATGGGTAATTATTAAAATTGATGTTTCTGTGATGAGATTATTACTGGAGGGACCTACTCTACCATCTTGTGCTATACCCCTCTTACATGTTTCTGACATTATTAACAATAAAATTTTGACTCTATTAAATGTTAACCAAGCTAACAATTTTTATGAAAAAGTAAAAGTATTTTCCAAAAGCAATTATAGAGAAGAGTGGCATTCATTTACTTTTTTGCAATAAGGATGCTCACATAAGATCATAATAAAGCTGAGAAGTTTCTCTTACCTGGTGACATTTTAGCCACTGCAACACAGTAAAACACATTACTCACTTGCTGTTGGTGTCACTTTTATTTGTTAATGTAAAGAAATCTATTGCATTGCCATTCATTCAAAAGTATACTAAATAAAATTTTGTGCAGTTCATAACACTTGATATGTTACTAGTTTGTGCATTTATCAAAATATATTTCATCATTATTTTAGAGAATATTCCTATTTATTTAAAAAAATGAAGCTAATTGTAAATCAGCCTCAGGCAGGTCCTTCAGGAAGTACTCCAGAAGAAGGCATTGTTATCATAAGCAATGCTGGTTCCTTAAATGTTAATGCCCTGAAGTGGGGAAAAGATGTGGAGAAGAAAAACGGTGATATAGATTATTCTGAGCCCATGTAGGCCTGGACTAGTGTGTATTCTTAGTTCTTAATAAAAACTTTAAATAGTAAAGGAAATTAATTTTAAAATACAAGAAGCTTATAGAAGAAGGATATAAAAAAACATTTAGTAGAGCTATACAATGTTTTGATTTAAGCTAAATGTAATTGTAAGAGTCAAAAGTTTTAAAAAAATTAAAAAGTTCATAATGGAAAAATTATAGTAAACTAAGGTAAATTGATTACTGAAGAAAAATATTGTTATAAATTTAGAGTGGCCTAAGTGTACACTTTACAAAGTCTACAGTGGTATGCAGTAATGTCCTAGGCCTTCACATTCACTCACCACTCACCCATTGACTTACCCAGGGTAACTTCCAGTCCTACCAGCTCTATTCGCAGTAAGTATTCTATAAGGGGTACTATTTTTAAATGTTTTATGTCATATTTTTACTGCACAATTTCTGTGTTTACATGTTTATAGCCTACGAGCCATAAGCTGTACTACACGGCACATGTACTATGTACCAGACTACTTCATCTAGGTTTGTGCAAGTATATTCCATGATTTTCACACAATGACCTATTTTTAAGAGTATATTCCTGCCATTAAGTGATGCATAACTGTATGTAAAGAACATCTGGTCTCACAAACACATACACACATGCACACACATATATGTGCATGTATTTATACATATATATGTGAAATGGAGTTTGAAATTTAATAGCTTTTTGATCATTATAGATATTCTTCATTAATAACATATCAACATTCAACAACTGACAATTTCTTACATATTAGTTGCAACGAGGCATCTGTAAGGTTTTCATAGTCTGCCATATTAAATCCACTGGTCTATTTTATACTCTAATATATCTTTTGCTCATGCATGATTTTTAAATCAATATTTTGACCATTTGCAAACATTGATTCACTGGATTTTTCAGATCTTCTAAGTACTGACACATTTCGTTGTACAATACTAAAACAAAGCCCTTGTAAATATCACCAATAATACCATCAAATAAATCTTTAGGTGTTGGGACTCTGTCAAGCTCAGAGAAGTGGATACAAGTTTCCCAGTGCTCTAATTTGTCATGAAAGCTCAGATTTTTTATTGGTAACAAATACTATCTTGTTATTTTCCCTTCTAGTAGTAGACTCACTTTATGCATTTTCAAAATATGGCTGTGTACCAAATATCCAAATATGAATAACCAAGTCTATCATTAGTCTTGTCAAGTAAAAATGTTGCATGAAAAAAGCTTAGTTCAGTTTCTCCAGTGTTTTGCCTAAAGGCAGCTACTACAATTTAATATGCATTAGAAACATCTTGTGTGGATTTCTCATTCCATCACACAGAGTATTAAAATGATACATACTTAAAATACTTAAGATACATGACTTAAAAGTCATGTTTAAGTTTAATTGTTACTGATTTCCTCGAACACTTTATTAAGTAAAATTGACATGTTGGATTTTTTTTTCCTATAAGTGCAGAAGTGTAGAAGTTCAGTAATCACAAGTTATGTTTGGTGTCACTATTTGATTTGTAAATCAAGCATCAGGTAAAACCATAATATAATCAGTTCAAGTGTCAACACACTAGAAAAGACAAAAGGCATTTTCAGACTAGCATGAAAATTATTCTGAACTCACAGATCTTCTTAAAGTATTTCAGGGAGCCCCATGGTTCCAATAACTTTACCTTACTTTAAGGACACTCTTAACCAAATCGTTCCTGAATAAATACACTGAATCTAATCCAGTTAGTATTTCCAGGAGAACTCTGAAATTAGTTTTGGAAAGATACAACTTCAATGTACAAATAGGCACAAATATGGAAGATTTGGTAAGAACCACAAAGAAAACAAATTTCTTAGCTTCCAGAGAACACTTTAATCAAAGTTCTTCCATTTGTGCTGCTGGCAGTAATATAATACCACATTCTCACACTAGAATGTACAGAGACTTTTGTCACCTATTGTAATCCATGATGGAGTCCAAAGCTCCCATTGGCCAGGTAAATTCTGTGGAAAAAAATCTCATTGGAGATTTTGATCTTGGAGAATGAGACTTACACGTGCTTCAACATAAGAGAAATTACACAAAGCATTAAAGTACATCATAAAATGTCAGTAACATCAATATGTCCTTTCATAATTTTGTTAACCATTAATTTGCTTCCTTTATAATTTCAATTATCCAAAGAGAAGGTTTTCTGAGAAATAAAATATTCTATGTCCCTCACAAAAATTCTTTCTTATATTCTTTCATTTTTATATAAAATTTGGGTTTCACTGGAGTTTAAGAATGCTTTTGGAGTTTTCCACTTAAAAGGATGAAAGAGAAACTCTCTCCTGGATAAGAATATCTGCTATTAGAGCACCTAACATTGAATGTTACCTATTTGTTTCTTACCTACTGCTTTTTGAGATTCCTGATCAGAGGGACCAAATATTTCATTGTTGTTGTTGTTGTTTTTATGTCTCTAACACCATCACAATATTTAGGAAACAGAAACATTTCAATTAGTGCTTAATGAATTCAATTTTTGTTGCAGCTTGCTTTGGCTCAACACTAGTCTAATATACTAAAATAAAACCACCCAAGAGTATAGAATCTAGCCAACATAAAGAAATAGGATTTGATTGATGAAAGTCTTAAAAAATGCTTTCAGTTATTGAAGACAACACAAAAGCTAAACTGAAACATTATTGTGGCGCTGACAATGTACAGCATATTCCTTATCAGATAATAATATTGGTAATCATAAGAAGATGCAGCGTGAGCCAGGTGCTGGTGGCATGGCCCTAGTGGCACAGTGCCTGCCTAGCAAGCACACAGCCCTGAATTCAAACCCTGGACTGCAAAGAAGAAAAGAAAAACACAGCTTGATTTTGAAGTTTTATGTTCATTCAATTTATTATATTTTGTTTGATTATATGATAACATTGACAAGTATAATCCAGAAGGAACTTTCTAGATTAATGTTGTACCCTAATTTGTTGATTTTTAAGGTAACAAAAAATACAACTGAAAGTACTCATTTCCTTAAATATGTTTCTTTGTAAGTAAGATAGCTTTTATGGGAGTAAAGATGGATTTGTCCCTTGAATATTGCCCCATCAAAGTGAAATGCTATTTACTTTTATAATCATTTGCTATAGACTGGTTTTATATACTAAAAAATATTGCATTACAAATGCTAATTATTTTATTACAAGAAAGATAAAAGCATTTCTATTCAGGTAAAAAGGAATATAAAACATAAAAATTTCCACAGAATTTTTGAAATTTTGTTGTTTTCCACAACAAATACCAAGAAGGTGTTTTTCATATAACTGCTTCTTGCTGCTTTATTCAATAGGGGTAATTCTGATTCAGCTCACATTTTATATTTGATTCAGGATTTAACTACAGGTTAGCAAAAGGTTTATGTTCTAAGAGAAAATAGCAAAGAAATGAACAAAGGTAATAATTATAACCTATGAAATCAACTCCTTAGAGAATCCTGAAATAACTTACTTCTTCAGAAATGCTGGTGCTATCTGATCCCACTATGGTTTGGTGAGTTGCATGGCCTTGGAAAACAAACTTCACTGAATTGAAAAAACTGGACTTTCCAGAACCAACTGGACCCAGCAAGAGAATAGGAATTTCTGAAACCAAGTCTGCATGGGGCTTGTAGGCTCTAAGCTTTGCTAGGAGCTTATTTCTGTGTCTGTTAAAATGAAATAAACACAAAAAACACTTTCATAAAGAAAATCACAATTAATCTGGAGCTTTTCTTCTGCTTTAAAGATTACTTTAATTACTTATTATTTTAATAGTAGCATCTTCTATAATATATTAAATGTCTAAGATTATGTATTTGCACTCAAACAAAATGCATTTATCCAAATTTGACTAAAACATTAACCAGCAACCAAAACACTGTTGAAATAATAGCCTTTGACCACAGAAATCTAATGAGATTTAAATAACACTGAAATGGTGATTATTTTCAATAAAGTATATTAAGGAAAAAACAAAATGAAATATATGCAAAATAGCTACTTATAAATTGTGGTTTTTTAATCATTAACTCAGGCTCCCTGGACACTGTTTTCTTAATGAGAGAGGAATGAGAGGAATTACATTAAATCGTTATTCCCAACTTGGAAAACATTGAATTTCATAGGTCCAGAGTGAAATATGAAGTAAAACTGATCAAGTGGATTTAAAAGTTTCATAGCTGGTAATGGTTTTATTATTGATGCACTAAACCACCTTGAATATTTTATGTCAATAACAAAACTCATTTTCATCATTCTAAGTAATAAGATCTTTCTTACTATTTATTTCACTGTCAGCAGGATTTATACAATTAGTGTAAATAAAATTCCTAACAGATAGGCCAAGAACCTAACTTACTCTATGACTATTGTTATCTTCCTCATGTAGTCGGGATCATTCTTGATTCCTATGGGAATAATCACAGTATAATAAAGTTTTTAATATTGTATGATTACATGTGGTCAAGTCTACCTCCTATGTGAGTCTACTGTATAACCCTGAGTTTTTCAGGGCAGCAAAATGAGAAGAAGAGGAGCAAAAATTGTCCTTTCTGTACATTAAATCTCTCTGATCAGCCTGTATGTAGCAAAACTGTACATACAGGCTGATCTTCTGGTCAAAATTGACCTGCTCTGATTCACTCATTCATTAATTCTCTCTCTCTCTCTCTCTCTCTCTCTCCCTCTCTCTCTCTCAATATCTCTCTTCTCTCCATCTCCATTTCTATCTTTGTCTCTAGGCATATATCTCTTAACACACTTTGCTCAAAATCTATACTTTCTGAGTAATAAACTCATAATCTTTATGTCCCCCAAGTTTTGTTTTGGAGTCTATCAAAGTTTATCAACTGGCAAAAAATGAGAATTCTTTCTTGTTCTTTTAATGTGAAATGTAAAGACTAGAACCAGAATGTAAAAATGTAAATTATCTAATTTAACATACCTTCAACTTGAAAAATTTCACATTCCAGGTAGTTAGACCAGGAAGAACAATTAAGTCCTAATTTTTCTTGTAATGAAGATTTTATAAAAATGTTGTTTTTGTGTACAAGGACTCTACAATCACCAAATAATTTAAATTCTAGGGATTCATCAGCAATTTTCAGTATTGTATTTGAAAAGAAAGTTGACATTTCAGGTATATTATTCTTTTGAAATGAAAAATAGAAGGAAGTATATGGCTTTTCAGAAAGTCCAATCAATTCAGGAAAATGTTGAAGCATAAAAACACCAATAATGTCTTTCTCATGGTAAATCACTGTTATAGTAGCTCCCTGGTGACCACACCTCTGAACTATATTGTTAATGCTAAATGTATGAACACTACACTTATAAAGAAGACTCAAAGAAGCATTTCCAAGTGGTCTTCATAGACATTTTTTCTCATGCCATGTCAATCCAGTTGTTACTGTCATTGTCCTGTATCTGAAAGAAAAACAATTTTAAGTTGAGTGGCTAGTATAACAAAATGGTTGAAAGCACAGATTTCTGTTTCTAGTTCCAGTGAGATTTTTAAATTCTCCAATCCAGTTAAAAGATATGAAAATTACAGAGCAAAAACATAGAACAGGCATAATAACAGGTAAAATTGAAAAATAGATCATTTAGAAATGATAATAGATATCATTAATATTTCAACATAAGCCGACAAAGTAAACTGTAAAACAGATGAAGAATAAACAAAAAAAACAATAAATTAGAATAGGAGTCTTTTCATAATGAACCAGATAGTAAATACTTTAGGCTTTGTAGATCATATAGCTTCTGCTACTACTACTCAACCTTGCTACTGTATGACAAAGGAAGTCATAGACAATATGGAGTGGGTTTCTGTGTTGGCAACTTTTTCTTAAGGTAGTGATATTGACAGATGGAGCTTCCAAGAGATAGGACCTAGTGGGAGATGGTGAAGTCATTTGGAAGCAGGTCCTCATAAAAGATTAAGTTATTTCTCATGGAACTCTGGGTAGTTCTCATAAGTGGGTTGTTATATAAACCTGACCCTGTCGCCATCTACTTTCTTCGCCTTTCTGATTGACCAAGTGATCGATTTCTCACACATACACTCCCCCAATGATGAAATCCTCTGTGATGCAGCCAAGAGGACCAGGGCTGAGCTGGTATTAGCACTGTACCTTTAAACATCTAGAACTGTGAACTAAATTAACATTTTTTTCTTTATACAATTAGCCTTCCTCAGTTCTTTCACTACAGTAACAAAAACAAAAACTAAATGAATTCAATAAGTAAATGAATGTGCATCATTTGGTTCCAATAAAACTTTCCCTATAAAAACAGGTATCTGGCACATAGGCCATATTTTACCAATCCACTTTTATGCAGAAAATAGCTCACAAAGAAAGTAACTGATAAACCCAAAACATGAAAGCGTTTGATGTCCCCATTCCAGAAGAACCAATACAGAAACCTTAAAGCAACAGAGGTCAACAAGAGAAGGGCATCAGGAACCAGTGTAAAGATCAGTTAAAGATGAATTAACTTGGGTTGTAACACATTTGTACATGAAGCAATGCTAGTAATCTCTCTGTGTAGCTATCCTTATCTCAACTAGCAAAAATGCTTTGTCTTTCTTATTACACTTATGTCTTCTCTTCAACAAAATAAGAGATAAGGGCAGAACAGGTTCTGCCTTGAAGCAAGAGGAGGGCAGGGAGAGGGTTGAAGTGGAGGGCCCCTGGGAGAAATGACCCAAACAATGTATGTACATGTGAATAAATGAATAAAAAAAGAGAAAAGAACTGAAGTATGAAAGAAGTTAACAGATACAAAAGTACCACAGTGGCAGACTAAACCATTAGCCATCTCACCAATTAGTTCAATGAAAAAAAAAAAACTAGGGAAACAGAATAAACTACATAAAATATATTAGAGAGCAAACAAAGCAGTGAAGAATTATGTTATTGCCTAAGATATGGAGAAATTAATTCAGAGGGCAAGCTAGGCATTTGGGAGCAAATTTCTCTGAGTTGCACCTGACAATTTCAGAAGAGGCACCTGAGATGCTTGGAAATTAAGCAAAACTTTTGCTAAACTCACAGAGCTAGGAAGACCAAAAAGATACTTTGGGGTGCAGCAAAGAGGGTACCTTGGAGACCTGGCGCTCAGGTTGTGGGTTGAGACTGTAAAGAGCTACATGAGGAAGATGTAAACATGGACAAGAAACTGTCAGACTTTATTTGACCTTCCAATAACCTCAATCCTTGTTTGGATTATGGTAAACAAGGATTTCTAGTGTCAATAGTTGCATGGCAAAATAAATGTTGCCTAGAAGTAAAGAACATCCTTCTACCTTCAAATTATCTCTACATTTTAAAAATATTCAGTGCCTCACACTAAAACATAAACACATTGGAGGAAACAAAACAATGTAATAGAAAACCAAAAGATAAAGCACATAATAGAAACAAACTCATACTGATAATGGAGTTATCCACAGAGACTTTCTTTTTTTTTTTTCATTTTTCTTTTATTATTCATATGTGCATACAAGGCTTGGTTCATTTCTCCCCCCTGCCCCCACCCCCTCCCTTACCACCCACTCAGCCCCCTTCCTCTCCCCCACCCCCTCAATACCCAGCAGAAACTATTTTGCCTTTATTTCTAATTTTGTTGTAGAGAGAGTATAAGCAATAATAGGAAGGAACAAGGGTTTTTGCTGGTTGAGATAAGGATAGCTATACAGGGCATTGACTCACATTGATTCCACAGAGACTTTCAAATGCTGTGCTTGGTATGTTCAAATAGTTACAAAGGAAGGATAAAGGCCTGAGAGTACAATGAAAATAGTAGAAATTACAAAAAGAAATTCTTGATTTAAAAACATATATCTGATACTAGAATTAAAAAGACACTTGCTACTTAAAAAGCTGGACATCGATCTACCATTTGATCCAGCAATACCACTCTTGGGGATATACCCAAAAGACTGTTACTCCAGAGGCACCTGCACATCCATGTTTATTGCGGCACTATTCACAATAGCCAAGTTATGGAAACAGCCAAGATGCCCCAGCACTGACGAATGGATTAAGAAAATGTGGTATCTATACACAATGGAATTTTATGCAGCCATGAAGAAGAACGAAATGTTATCATTCGCTGGTAAATGGATGGAATTGGAGAACATCATTCTGAGTGAGGTTAGCCTGGCTCAAAAGACCAAAAATCATATGTTCTCCCTCATATGTGGACATTAGATCAAGGGCAAACACAACAAGGGGATTGGACTATGAGCACATGATAAAAGCGAGAGCACACAAGGGAGGGGTGAGGATAGGTAAGACACCTAAAAAACTAGCTAGCATTTGTTGCCCTTAATGCAGAGAAACTAAAGCAGATACCTTAAAGCAACTGAGGCCAATAGGAAAAGGGGACCAGGAACTAGAGAAAAGGTTAGATCAAAAAGAATTAACCTAGAAGGTAACACCCATGCACAGGAAATCAATGTGAGTCAATGCCCTGTATAGCTATCCTTATCTCAACCAGCAAAACCCCTTGTTCCTTCCTATTATTGCTTATACTCTCTCTACAACAAAATTAGAGATAAGGGCAAAATAGTTTCTGATGGGTATTGAGGGGGGGAGCGGAAGGGGGTGGAGTGGGTGGTAAGGGAGGGGGTGGGGGCAGGGGGGAGAAATAAACCAAGCCTTGTATGCACATATGAATAATAAAAGAAAAATGAAAAAAAAATAAAAAAATAAAAAGACACTTGCACATTGATGTTTATTGCAGCACTATTCACAATAGCCAACCTATGGAAACAGCCCAGATGTCCTACAACCAATGAATGGATTAAGAAAATGTGTGCATATACATACCACACACACACAGACACACACACACAGATTGTTCTTCAACCATAAAGAATGCAATTTTGTCGTTTGAAAGCATTTAGATAAAACTGAAGATCATGTTAAGTGAAGTAAGCTAAGTTCAGAAGGACAAAGGTTGCATGTTTTCTGTCATATGTCAAAAATAGATACAAATACAAGTATTATTATATATACACATATATACAGAATATGTTTCCAGTAGTGGAACTGTTAGAGGAGACGAAGAGAGGAGGAAAAGAACAGAAGAGAATGATAGAGAGTGAATAATATGAAAATACATCCCATCTGTGCATGAACAAGACACAACAAAATGCAATGAAAACTGTTGAACAATACAGGGTAGATGGAAAAGCATAAGGAACAGTAATAGAGTGGGTTAGATAAAACTAAGGCAAAACCTTGCTGAACAATGAACAGACACTTAGACAATGAAGGACAGGAATGTAAAACAGGTCATGTTAAGGGGAAGGTACTAGTGGCAGGGGGAGAGTAAACAAGGAAGGTAAAGGGAGGTGAATATGTTTGATGTATTTTCTATACATGTATGAATATGGAACTTTGAAACCTGCTGAGATCACTTTAAGAAGGGGAAGGGGAAAGGGAAGAATAATGGAGGAGATGACCCAAAATAGTGTACATCATATGCATATATGGAAATAGCACAGTGAAACCTCCTGCACTATTATTATATACTAATAAAAAACACTGCAAAAGGATAATTTAGCTACAGGTTAGATACTATTAAAGGAAGAACCAGTAAGAAGAAAATATATTAATGGAAGCATGAGACAAAAAGAGAATGAAAGGGGAAAGGGCAAAGGGTACGAGAGGGTATAGAAAAATTGCCTAGGATGTGTGAAACCATAATACAAGAAAGAGTAAGGCAGATATTCAAGTAGTCCTCTGAATCTCAAAAAGCAAGTCCTTAAACATTTCAAACCACTGTGACTTTGAACAAGAGTATAAGTTAGAAATCAGAAAAGAAGAATTTATCTTCTCATATGTTAAAAATTTTAAAATACATTGCTAAATAATTCATTGATCAAATGAGAAATCTTAATGAAATTAAGATAATAAAATATTTTCATCAAAACTTATAGAATGAAGCTAAAACCTGGTATAAAAATTATATATTCTTAAATAAGTAATTTAAAGATATATTTTTCTTCTTTTCTAGTAAGAAAGAAAAGAGGAAATGAATAAGGTTGAAAATGAATGATATAAACTTCTATGTCAAAAAGAAAAAAATGCTAATTAAACCCAATGAAATCAGAGATAAGTAACATCTACTACAGATCAAATTCAAAACAGATTACTAAACACAAGTTGCTATGGTTTGAATGTGTGTCCCCAAAAGTATGTATTGGATACACACACACACACACACACACACACACACACATATATATTTATACACACACACATATTATATATGTGAGAGAGAATAAAATTGTATTAATGGGTCTGTCTATGGGAGGTAGAAGAGTGAAAGAAAATTTTAGAGAATGAAAAATATTGAAATTACCCATCCGTATATGAATATAACGTAAAGCACTGTACCT